CATTTTGACCCCACGGGATCAGAATCAGAATCAGAATCATTTTTATTGCCACGTAAGTAACAGGAGGTCACAGACTTGGAAATTGCTTTGGCTCAGTGCAACAGTCAGAAAGAGATAATAAAAATAAGAATAAAAAACACTTCTAAAGAATAAATTTAAATTTAAAATAGAGTTACAGTTACTATTGACAATATACAAGTGCACATGGTGCACACAATGTAAGGTGACAGCAGTACAGTGAAGTAAAGTGACGTATGATGGGCAGTAAAGTTACTTTATAAAGGGCGGGGGGACAGGTTAAGAAGTGTTCAAGAGTCCAACAGCAGAGGGGAAGCAACTGTTCTTGTGGCGGGAGGTTCTAGTCCTGATGGACCGCAGTCTCCTGCCTGAGGGGAGTGGTTGGAATAGTCCATGTGCAGGGTGAGAGGGGTCGGCTGTGATACGACCAGCCCGGCCTCGAGCTCGGGCGACGTACAGGTCCTGCAGCGATGGAAGGCTGCGGCCGATCACTTCCTCTGCAGAGCGCACAATGCGCTGTAGTCTCTGTTTGTCCCTGACTGTGGCTCCAGCGAACCACACGGTGATGGAGGAGGTGAGGATGGACTCGATGATGGCCGTGTAGAACTGCACCAACATCTGTGCAGGCAGCTTGGCTTTCCTGAGCTGCCGCAGGAAGTACATCCTCTGCTGGGCCTTCTTGATGAGGGAGCTGATGGTCGGCTCCCGCTTGAGGTCCTGGGTGATGGTGGTGCCCAGGAAACGAAAGGACTCCACAGAGGTGATGGGGGAGTCCATCACGGAAGGTGGGGGCGGAGGGACAGTGCTCTTCCTGAAGTCCACAATCATCTCCACTGTCTTCTGGGCGTTCAGCTCCAGGTTGTTACCACTGCATCAGGACACCAGCCGGTCCACCTCCCTCCTGTAGGCGGACTCATCGTTGTTGGCGATGAGTCCAATGAGGGGGGTGTCGTCCGCGAACTTGATCAGCTTCACGGAGTCGTGGCTGGAGGTGCAGTGGTTGGTGTACAGGGAGAAGAGCAGGGGAGAAAGAACACAGCCCTGTGGGGCTGAGATCTTGCGTGGAGCCCCAGATCGAGGGAGATTATCAGTGGTTGAAATATCGTTGTGGGCTACATTTGGGCTATCTTTTATACAGATAACAAGTTCAAACAGGTGCCATTAATACAGGTAACATGTGGAGGACAGAAGAGCTTCTTAAAGTTAAAGTTACAGGTCTGTGAGAGCCAGAGATCTTCATGGTTTGAAGTGACCAAATACTTACTTTCCACCATAATTTACAAATACATTCTTTAAAAATCCTACATTGTGAATTCCTGGATTTTTTTTTCACATCCTGTCTCTCACAGTTGAAGTGCACCTATGATGAAAATTACAGACCTCTGTCATTATTTTAAGTGGGAGAACTTGCACAATCGGTGGCTGACTAAATACTTTTTTGCCCCACTGTATATGTGGATTTTACTGCTCTACAGTTCTCTGGCCCGTACTGTCTGTGCTGTTTAACAATACAGTTTGTACGGACTACCTGTGAACGCATCACACACACTGCTAGACATGAAACTACATACACGCAAACCAACAAGCACGGCTGCAGTAACGGCTGCATCAACACGTCTGTACTGTCTTAGGACAGAGTGCAAAGTAAACGTACAAACACAACCATCAGTCTGATCATTTAGTACTAATCCCGTCCGAACAGGGCTTATGCCAACACTACCTGTGCAGCAGCCATTTCTGCCCAATTCCTCTCCTTGTCATTTCAGTGATGATATTCTTTACATGACACATCAGACATACATTCACGGTGTTGCCAGAGGTCAACTAGTTGTTCCTCCATCTCTGATGTCCACCGAACTTTCTGGTGCGCCATGCCGCTGACTGTTTTGGTTTTTTTACGGCGTTTCCTCGCCGGCTCGTCTCGTCTTCTGATTGGCTACACGCCGCAGTCATGGCAACGCGCTCGTCTGTCCCCGGGGACACCACACATGAAGAGAAATCGGGCCAAAACAATCCAACATGTTAGATATCCCCGATGTTGAGATCGGAGCAGTCCCGAAGTCCTTCAGAGTGACGAGCACAGTCTTAACACACCACACACGGAAAATCCATCAGATTTTTTTTTACAATATTTGGAGCGTTCTTTCGATTGTCGTAGGGGTAAATCGAGTCCAAAATCGGCCTAATTATCCTGCCGTGTGAACCAGGCTTAAGTCACGTTTATTTATATCATTCTCAGTCCAACGTCCAGCTGTCATTCCGTAACACCCCTTACCCAGCAATGATGGAAGCGGCCATACGCCACTAAAGGCGCTTGCACACTGAGTCCGTTTTTCGTCCGTTTTTTTTGTGCGAAATTGTCGCACGAAAAAAAAAAAAAACCATGCTATGTCAATTACGCTTGCACACCGACTCCGAAATATTCGTCCGACATTCAATTTTTCGGAACAGCTTCGTTTTTTTTAAACAAATTTTCGTTCCGTCATATGCCGGTCATGCGCCTTTTGAGGGTTGTTTGTCCATAGCGAGCCGCCGTAGGTAAACATGGCATCGGAGCGGCTCATTCATTTGGTCTCCCAGCAAAAGCCACTTTATGATAAAGAAAGCAGTGATTATAAAGATGCTGAGCTAAAGGACAAAATATGGCAGGAGATCGCGGAGCAGCTTGGAATCGGGGACGGTATGTATTGGTTTATAGGCAGCTAAACACAGCTATTATCATGTTAGCGCTAGCGTGGAAAACTAGCAGCCGGCAGCCAAGCTAGCCAGCGAATGAATGATTACATTAGGTACTTCAAGGCTTTAGTGGTGAATATAGAGATTCATGGAGGTATATTCTGTGTTGCCCCCCCTCACTGATTAATGAGGGGCTGGGTTTCACTAGGCTAAAAGGTCAGTGGTCCCGACGGGTCACGTAAGTGGCCTATAAAGCAAAGCAAACTCATTGCAAAGTTCACCCATCTCTTGGAAATGAGTTTACTCACGTACTATCAATAAATAGAATAACGTAGGCCACCTACGTGTCTACTTTTAACATATGTGCTTTGTGTTGTATTATTAGTTTATATTAGTTTGCCCTGTGCTAATGTTATCCATTGACTATAATAATTGTACGATGTGATTAAACATGGTTGCTGGCTGACTGCAATACTGTAACTTCTTTACATAATTCTAAATTCAATAGATATTCTAATGCAATCTTTGTCTCAAGTCTCTCCAGATTGAACTACCACACCAGAGGAGACCCATGGTACAGATAAACCACACCAGAGGAGACCCATGGTACAGATAAACCACACCAGAGGAGACCCATGGTACAGATAAACCACACCAGAGGAGACCCATGGTACAGATATACCACACCAGAGGAGACCCATGGTACAGAGATACCACACCAGAGGAGACCCATGGTACAGATAAACCACACGAGAGGAGACCCATGGTACAGATATACCACACCAGAGGAGACCCATGGTACAGATATACCACATCAGAGGAGACCCATGGTACAGATATACCACACCAGAGGAGACCCATGGTACAGAGATACCACACCAGAGGAGACCCATGGTACAGATAAACCACACCAGAGGAGACCCATGGTACAGATATACCACACCAGAGGAGACCCATGGTACAGAGATACCACACCAGAGGAGACCCAAGGTACAGAGATACCACACCAGAGGAGACCCATGGTACAGATAAACCACACAAGAGGAGACCCAAGGTACAGATAAACCACACAAGAGGAGACCCAAGGTACAGATATACCACACCAGAGGAGACCCATGGTACAGATATACCACACCAGAGGAGACCCATGGTACAGATATACCACATCAAAGGAGACCCAAGGTACAGATAAACCACACCAGAGGAGACCCATGGTACAGATATACCACACCAGAGGAGACCCATGGTACAGATATACCACACCAGAGGAGACCCATGGTACAGATATACCACACCAGAGGAGACCCATGGTACAGATATACCACATCAAAGGAGACCCAAGGTACAGATAAACCACACCAGAGGAGACCCATGGTACAGAGATACCACACCAGAGGAGACCCATGGTACAGATATACCACACCAGAGGAGACCCATGGTACAGATATACCACACCAGAGGAGACCCATGGTACAGATATACCACACCAGAGGAGACCCATGGTACAGATAAACCACACCAGAGGAGACCCATGGTACAGATAAACCACACCAGAGGAGACCCATGGTACAGATAAACCACACCAGAGGAGACCCATGGTACAGATATACCACACCAGAGGAGACACATGGTACAGATAAACCACACCAGAGGAGACCCATGGTACAGATATACCACACCAGAGGAGACCCATGGTACAGATAAACCACACCAGAGGAGACCCATGGTACAGATATACCACACCAGAGGAGACACATGGTACAGATAAACCACACCAGAGGAGACCCATGGTACAGATATACCACACCAGAGGAGACCCATGGTACAGATAAACCACACCAGAGGAGACCCATGGTACAGATAAACCACACCAGAGGAGACCCAAAGTGTCGGTTGAACGTTTTTGAGACAAATATTTTGTTTGATGATATTGTTGTCATGGTGTGGATTTTATTTTTGTATTTGATTTTATTTTGACATTGGTTCTCTGGTTTAATTTCAGTTTTACTTCATGTCTTGTTCCCCTGTTGATTGTCTGCCCCGCCCTGATGTGTTTCACCTGTGTCTGTGTCTGTATGTACCATGTGCTTCTCTCCCCTTGTTGCTGGTCCATTGTCTTGTTCCTGGGTTCCTGGTTGCTTTTGGTGTTTTGGTTTTTACCTTGGACTTTATTTTATTAAATCTTTATTTTGGCATTCTGGCATTTGAGTCCTCACTCACCTCACCACAAGACAATTGTTGCTGTAGTAACCCAAGCTCTAAAGATTACAATGAGACCGAGTCCATGGAGAGGGAAAGAACCGTACCTTTGTCAGTGTCTGAACAGTCCTGATGTAGAAGTGTCTCTGCAGCTTCATAAAACTCCTGCAAACAAACAAGTCCAACGTTTGGTCACGTTTCCACTGAGAAACACACATTACTGCAGCTGAACACACTAACCTCCTCCTCCTCTTCTTCCTCCTTCTCTTCTTCCTCCTCCTCCATTTCCTCCTCTTCTTCCTCCTTCTCCTCCTCCTCTTCTTCCTCCTCCTCCATTTCCTCCTCTTCTTCCTCCTTCTCCTCCTCCTCTTCTTCCTCCTCCTCTTCTTTCTTCTTTTTCCTCCTTCTCATTCTCCTCTTTTTCCACAACCTCTTTCTCCTCCTCTTCTTCCTTCTTCTCTTCTTTCTTCTCATCCTCCTCTTTTTCCACAACTTCTTTCTTCTCCTCCTCCTCCTTCTCCTCTTCTTTCGTCTCCTGCTCTTCTTCCTCCTTCTCTTTTTCCTCCCCCTTCTCTTCTTTCATCTTCTCTTCTTCCTTCTCCTCCTCCTCCTCTTCCTTCTTCTCTCCTTTCTTCTCCTTATCTTCTTCCTCCTTCTCCCCCTCCTTCTCCTCCCCCGTCTCCTTCCCATCCTCCTCTTCCTCTTCTTCCTCCTTGTTCTCCTCCTTCCTCCTGTGGCCGTCTCTCGCAGACATTGTTCACGCCTGTGTCGTTGCTGCTTCACTAGAATACATATGTAAATAAATACATCATTAAAGATAAAGAACCTAAGTTTAAACTCCACAAAATAAAAATCCATGTAACCAGTTCCTGCTTAAACCATTTTCTTCACTTGTTCTGTGACGTGACCTCTGAAAAAGAGTGAACTACCTTCACTCAGCCCAAAGGGACAATAAGTGACTCACAGGGCTCTTGCTTACAGGTACACCACACTGAAGTCACAAATGTGTTCACAAAATGTCTAAAACATGGAACAGTATTATGGAGCTTTTATTGTTTCAATAATATTTGTGTGTGTGTGTGTGTGTGTAACCAGATCTGTGTGTGTGAAAACAAAGTCTACGCTTTACAAAAGTCTTTTTTTTTTAACACCTAGATCTTTTGACACAGTCCTGTCTTTGCAGATTCGTAAGTGTAACTTGGACTGTGTGTGTGTGTTCTCAGATGTGTGTGTTCTCAGATGTGTGTGTGTTCTCAGATGTGTGTGTGTGTGAATTGAACGAGAGGCTGTTCATGCACAAATCTCCAGAGAATCACATGTGGTTGTTCTACCACTGCACCAGTAGATGGTGCTGTTGTAGCCGATTACTACACACAACAAACTCTCACCTGCACAAAATAAGGAATCACACAAGCAGCAGAATGTGTCTTCCTCAGAAAGTCACTTTTTATTATTTACGGTGGAAATCATGGCTCTCTGCCATAGGAATGCAACACACTTTAAAGAGTTTTTATGTCTGTAGAAAATCTTCTATCATATTAATTGCAAATGTATTGTGTACATTTTTCAAACACAGCACAACCAAATGTGCAAGTTCTATTTTTAAAGAATAAAAAATGAATATCAGAGGATTTATTTGAAGAGAACTGTGGCTACACTTCTTTATCCTGCGTCTTCAACGCGCCCAAAAGATGAATTTCTGGAATTTGGTTTCTGTTCCAGGAAACAGGGCGCGTCACTTTCTTCTGCTTCGGTTTTTGTCTAAAGCCAATTTTAATCAACATCAATGCAGTAAAAAGTCAAAAGCAGAGGATTTGCCAAGTGTCACTAAGACTTTCTTTTCCGCTCACTCAGAAAAACAAGTCTGAAAAAGTTCAGAACAACCTCTTTGCATTCCTTTCACACAGATATGGTGGAAAACATGTGTTGTATAATATTTCTAAATGTAAACAGCTGAAGCCATAATGAGTGACTGGATAATGTTGAAGGTACAGTGTGTTGGAGATGAGTGGAAAGGACAGTAATGTGTGGAAGAGAGTGAGGTAGTTTCATCACACTTTCACACCATTAATACACTTTGGGTTCGAGACCTATTCTGGTTAAAACACTCAATAACTGAAAATATAAATAGAATAAATCAGATCTCCTCATCCTTTTCTTCCTATTTTTGAGGTTCCCTAAAAAAATTAAAACATCTGCTCATAATATTTTGAGTTATGCTGCAATCCAATTAAAAAGAGAAAATCATCAATAATCTCCCAAACAAACTGAGAAAAACATAAAAGGTTCTAGTCCTCATGTTGGATCTGAAGGAAAAGGTTAAATGTAGAAGAGAAGAAAGTTCTCTGTGCAGAAAAACTCACCACAGTCGAGAAGTGTCTGACGCTGCAGCTTCAGTGAGACAGAGCCGGGTTAGCTGCTTTATATAAAACAATACTTTCACTTTCCATATATGGGCACCAGCAGACAGTCCAATGAGGTGCGGGCAGATGAGGCGGGTGAGGCGGGTGAGGCAGGTGAGGCAGGTGAGGCGGGTGAGGCAGGTGAGGCGAGTTAGGCGGGTGAGGCAGGTGAGGCAGGTGAGGCAGGTGAGGCAGGTGAGGCGAGTTAGGCGGGTGAGGCAGGTGAGGCAGGTGAGGCGAGTGAGGCGGGTGAGGCAGGTGAGGCGGGTGAGGCAGGTGAGGCAGGTGAGGCAGGTGAGGCAGGTGAGGCAGGTGAGGCGAGTTAGGCGGGTGAGGCAGGTGAGGCAGGTGAGGCGAGTTAGGCGGGTGAGGCAGGTGAGGCAGGTGAGGCGGGTGAGGCGGGTGAGGCAGGTGAGGCAGGTGAGGCGGGTGAGGCAGGTGAGGCAGGTGAGGCAGGTGAGGCAGGTGAGGCAGGTGAGGCGAGTTAGGCGGGTGAGGCAGGTGAGGCAGGTGAGGCAGGTGAGGCGAGTTAGGCGGGTGAGGCAGGTGAGGCAGGTTAGGCTAACATCATGGAAAGAAAAATATGATAAAATGGAAACAAAAATACATGGTCACAATATGGCCTCGGGGGGGCGCTTGTGAGCCCACATTTTGGCTGCATCCAATTTCATCAGAAAGCTCCTTTCTTGTTCTTCCTCTGCTAAGGGCAGCTACAGGTTCGGCTAAAATACATGTAACACATTTTCAGATGATTTAAAATCCACTTAGGGTAATATTATGCTTCCAATGATGATAGGAATGATGCTGAAGAGAGGTGAAGGTTAAGAAGGTTAATTTAAGCCAGCGGAACACTCTGGAGTCTGTGGAGGAGACATCCGTTTTACTTTTTAAAAATCATTGGACTTATCTCCAAATGGAAGATTACATATCTACGCTCAAACAAAGCCACTGAAATGGTGTAGAAGCCGCTCTGTAGGTCCTGTGGATACGATATATATGTACATCTGATTGGGATGAAGTCAGTGCCTCATCAATCACAAACCCTGACCAAAACAAAGTATCAAAGAACTAAGCTCTCTCTCTCTCTCTCACTCTCTCGTCTCTCTCTCTCTCTCTTGCTCTCTCTCGTCTCTCTCTCTCGCTCTTTCTCTCTCTCTTCTCTCTCTCTCGCTCTCTTTCTCTCTTCTCTCTCGCTCTTTCTCTCTTCTCTCTCTTGCTCTTTCTCTCTCTCTTCTCTCTCTCTCGCTCTCTTTCTCTCTTCTCTCTCTCTCTTCTCTCTCTCTCGCTCTCTTTCTCTCTTCTCTCTCTCGCTCTGTCTCTCTTCTCTCTCTCGCTCTTTCTCTCGCTCTCTCTCTCTCCTCGCTCTTGCTCTCTCTCTCTCGCTTTCTCTTCCTCTCTTCTCTTTCTCTCTTCTCTCTCTCGCTCTCTCTTTCTCTCTTCTCTCTCTCTCTCTCTCTTTCTCTCTCTCTGTCTCTCTAATAATCCAATAAAGCCTTTACAGTTTTTTCCTGTTGCTTGAACACTATAGACAGACGCTTAGACCAAAGTTGCAGAACTTTAAGCTTTTGTTCTAAACCTAAAACACAGACTGACCATTCCTTAAACAAAAGTACTGCTTTGCACTCTACTTTCATTTCTACAACACACTTTCTCTTTCTGCAACACACTTTCTCTTTCTGCAACACACTTTCTCTTTCTGCAACACACTTTCTCTTTCTGCAACACACTTTCTCTTTCTGCAACACACTTTCTCTTTCTGCAACACACTTTCTCTTTCTGCAACACACTTTCTCCTGCTCACTACACACTGTGTCATACATAAGACACTTTGTGCATATTTGCAATCCTGTGTTATCGTTGGGAAAACACATCTATTCAAAATACCAAACACATTGTGTGACTAAAAACACTGAGACACACACCAGAAAACACTGAATTACAAAATGCAACACACATCAGACAGACACAAACAGGCTTCAGTTTAGCCATTTTCAGAACTTTGCAAGTTTGAAGGCAGGAAGAGCAAGACAGAGGAAGACAAGGAGTTTAAGAGGATTAAAACAACACAATATTTTTATGACATTAGAGCAACTTTTGTGGATCTTGTGATAAACCACTGCCTCAAACTGAGGGAAGCAGAGAGTCCAGACAAGGTCCTTCAGGACCTACATGTTTCCAACGCTCTACTGCAGACTGTACCTACAGTATTTACAGTACTGTATCACATGTACTGTAAGTCTCTACTGCAGACTGTACCTACAGTATTTACAGTACTGTAAGTCTCTACTGCAGACTGTATCTACAGTATTTACAGTACTGTATCACATGTACTGTAAGTCTCTACTGCAGACTGTATCTACAGTATTTACAGTACTGTATCACATGTACTGTAAGTCTCTACTGCAGACTGTATCTACAGTATTTACAGTACTGTATCACATGTACTGTAAGTCTCTACTGCAGACTGTATCTACAGTATTTACAGTACTGTATCACATGTACTGTAAGTCTCTACTGCAGACTGTATCTAAAGTATTTACAGTACTGTATCACATGTACTGTAAGTCTCTACTGCAGACTGTATCTACAGTATTTACAGTACTGTATCACATGTACTGTAAGTCTCTACTGCAGACTGTATCTACAGTATTTACAGTACTGTATCACATGTACTGTAAGTCTCTACTGCAGACTGTATCTACAGTATTTACAGTACTGTATCACATGTACTGTAAGTCTCTACTGCAGACTGTACCTACAGTATTTACAGTACTGTATCACATGTACTGTAAGTCTCTACTGCAGACTGTATCTACAGTATTTACAGTACTGTATCACATGTACTGTAAGTCTCTACTGCAGACTGTACTACAGTATTTACAGTACTGTTCTGTATCACATGTACTGTAAGTCTCTACTGCAGACTGTATCTACAGTATTTACAGTACTGTATCACATGTACTGTAAGTCTCTACTGCAGACTGTACTACAGTATTTACAGTACTGTTCTGTATCACATGTACTGTTTTGCAAGTTGGCTATTGCTCCTTTTTGAAAGAAATGTAGTTTTGTGAAACATACAAGACGGTAAAGTACATAAAATTGAGATATAACAGTAATGTGTACATTTGTACTGTAAAAAAACTAAACCTATAGTAACAATTTGTGGTTTCATATTTATACAAAATGACTAAAAGAACATCCGGAGGTGGTCGGCAACTGTTCACCAACAACATGAACTTGCCTTCGTGGAAATAGTTAGACCATGAACCATGATCCATAACCCACACACGCACAACTGCTTAGTTTTACATTCGAGTTTTTTTTGTTTTACTGCATTGACACAATTGTA